TAATAATTATATTGATGGTTTCGGCTCTCGTTTTTGAAACATGAGAACTCTTATGTAGCGAAGGAATCATATTTTTAAAAAAATATTATAATATAAGCTCTACTTCTGTATGAAGCACTGTCTTCTTAAAAATAAAAACAAAAATACTGAGCTCCGGATTATTTACCTAACGTGATCCTTCCTATTTTTCTGCATACTTGCGATATATATATATATATATATATATATATATATATATATATATATATATATATATATTTTATTTCTATCTTTCATTAACTTCCGCTCCTTACATAAGATTAATTATTGATAACATGTCATTTTCGTTTATGATCGATTTCATCACGATACTTCTATTAAACTTGGAGGGTACTTATACATTCTTATTGCTCCAATGGTGTTATAAAAACGTTCAATGCTTGATGTCTTCAAAATGTTCTTGGTTGATGTTTCACAAGTGTATGTGTTCTCTCAATTGTCGCGTGAACTTTTAAACCACCCTTTACTTATACATCGTAAAAAAATACTGTATGAATATATTCGCGTAACTCTTAGAATAATAATTTCTTCTTCTAAGAGTCGAGTCCCATTAGGACATGGCTCTTCACAACTTCCTTTTATCCATTTACTACACACACCAATCTATGTTCTGCCAACCATTTGAACAACCTCATTAGGTAGGTTATTTGTTGCTTTTCTCTTGCCCTTAGAAAATTAGAGGAGGACGAAGATCATCTTGAATATATATATATATATATATATATATATATATATATATATATATATATATGCACATATATTGCTGCCTAAATACACACACACACACACAAAACACACACACACACACACACATATATATATATATATATATATATATATATATATATATATATATAGACTTGAATTAAATCCTTCATTAATGTCCAATCATTACATAAAATTAATTATTGATGAACATGTCGTTTTTATTTATGATTGATTTTATCACGATTCTTCTGTTAAGCTTAGAGAGTAATTATACATTCTTATTGCTCAAAGAAGAGCCCAATAGTGTTATAAAAACCTCGGATAATTCCAGTAAGATATCTTTAATCATTTCTAAGATACAACGTTTCAGAACTTAATTATGGAAGATGATGTCATCCCTGGTGTTTATTTTATTTATATTTTCTGCCAATTGTTGCGTGACTTTTTGATTACCTTGTACTTATACATCTTTAAAAAAACTGTATAAATATATTAGTATAACACTTAGAATTCTAATTTCTTCTAAGAGTCGAGTCCCATTAGGACATGGCTCTTCACAACTTCCTTTTACTACACATACCAATCTCTGTTCTGACAACCATTTGAACAACCGCGTCAGGTAGGTCAGGGGTTTTCAAACTTTTTGACTTGCTGACCCCTTTATATTTCAGGCTTTACTTTAGGGACCCACTTATAAACGATTATGAAATTTATCCATAAATATTTGCTGAATATAACATATAATTTTGCATTAATGCAATAAAAGCTGGTTTCAAGCTTACTTTAGACATAAGTGTTCAAATAAATTAATGCTGCATGTTGCTGCAAAATGTAACAAAATTAAATTTTGTTATATTAAAATATTAATTTTACATGTAAATGAAAACAGTAATAGTATTTAAGAAATAGTTTTATTGTCAATTACACACACAGGAGTTTTTAATACACACTTAATGAGAACGATGTGCTTGCTTGGCTTTGCACAAACTGTCAATTCTTGACGATATTACTGATAAACATACACGTAAGTCACTTTCTGGAGCAAGTCTGGATCTGTAATTGTTTTTCAGATTGGTTAGTGCCGAGAATCCTGATTTGCATAAATATGTTGTTGCAAAGGGTAACAAAATCTTAACTGCCTTTCAAGATAACAATGGCTGCTCGGAGGCTACAGTGAGCAAGAATTTCGAAAGTTGTTGCTGCATAAAACTGATTTTTAAAGTTCTGTCGCATTAAATTTCCGCCAGTTCTTCCAGTTCATTATAAATTGCACGTCACCCATAAAAAAGTATTTGCTGTCTACGGACCCCCTATCTTGTTCTTGCGGACCCCTTGTGGTCTGTGGACCACAGTTTGAAAACCCCTAAGGTAGGTCACCCCTTGCTTTTCTCTTGCTCTTTAAATTAATCAAAATATATTTTAACAATTTCTATGTAAATTAAATATCATTGCTTATGCTTTAAATGCAATTTCTTAGTTGTTGTTCTACGTATTGCGCCCGTACAGAGCGTCGTTATAATGGGGGCTTTCCTTCCGGATTCTGCTCTCGTCAGAGAAGAAGTATTTTTTTCCGCCGGGATGGCTGCTGCAAGTGTAGTATCTGTTCTGTGTCGGATGCTGTCAGTCCTCCTTTAGGTTCTTCATCCACCGTTGGGTGACGTCTGTTACGTAGCGGTGGTATGACCGGTTATGACCAGTTTAGACCAGCTAAGACCAGCTTAGACCAGCGGCTCGAGTGGAAACACACACCCCACGTTAAAAACCATGCTGGTGTCAGAACCTGTAGACCATGTTTACCGCAGTCTCTGAATATGGGATCCAGTGAAGTCCGTAATCTGTTCAATATCAGAGGTCGGCAGTGAAGATTCAGAGAAAGTAGCGGTTGCTAAGTAATTTTTTAAGTCTTCGATATCAGGTTGGCAGTGCAGACAATTTGGGAGAAAAAAAACCGAAATGCCTTTATACGTCGCATTGAATACTTTGAGCTTTCTGATTGGTTAACCCTTCTCTTGGTGGACTATAAAATGAGTCAACTCATTTTGACTGGCTCGCTAGTACACACATATACACAAAAAACTGCAACAGAACCTGATTCAGTTGATGGTTAAAGCAAACCTCGGGCATCGATATCATATCTCTGCACAATTTGCTGTCCTTTTGTAGTCCTGTCACTGTGTCTAACTAACGCTTTTATCCACTATGCCATATGTCCTGTAGGACATGGCTCTTCACAACATTCTTTTTTCGTCTTAATACACATACCAATCTCTGTTCCGCCAGCCATTTGCACAGCCTCGTCAGGTAGGTCCCTCCTTGCTTTTCTCTTTAATTTACTCAAAATATATTTTAAGAATTCCTATGCAAATTAAATAAAGTTGCTCATATTTTAAACGCCATTTTTAGTTGTACAGAGTGTTCCAAATGTCGCATTACCATTGATAAACTTTTCATACTTACCTGACGCAGGGCTCGTCCCTGGGCTGGTGGTATCACGGCTAGGACTATCTTGGACCGGCTCCGGCCTGGACCAGCGAGGACAAGCCAAGACCAGCTATGACTAGCTTAGACCAGCTCTGACCAGCTTGGACAAGCTAAGACCAGCTCGGACCAGCGTTCTGAGTGAAAACATTCTGGTTCCCACGTTAAAAACTGACCTTGTATCCAACCTGACTTGGGGGTCAAGTAAATATCTACCATTGATAACCTTACCAATTTTATATATATATTTGCCAAATGGAATCATGTTTCTGGATGGGACAATATATTATTAAGAAATTTTATGTAAGATGATTTCAGGCAAATTTTCCTTATTTCGCAAGTGTACGTTTTCTACGAAATGTTGCGTGACTTTTGGGACAACCCGTATATTAGTTACTAAGTTTCATAATGTTTACTGTTGAACGAGTACAATGTAGTGATTTTCCAAGCGTAGCTTACATGTGGCACAAGGCCGAAAGTATAGGGCAATCAGTGAGGATCGAACTCACTATTCAGTCGTAACTGTCCTAGCAAGACAAGCTTGCTAACCATTACACCGCCCCGAGGTACCCCAGTGATTTTCTAAGCGTAGCTTATATGTGGCACAAGGCCGAATGTATGGGGCACCCAGGAAGGATCGAACTCACTAGTCAATCGTAATTGTTCTAGCGAGACAAGCTTGTAAACCATTACACCTGGAGAAGTCCTTTTTTTTTTGAAACGTTGCTTAGATGTGGCTAAAGGCTGAATGTATGGAGCACCCAGTGAGGATCGAACTCACTAGTCAATCGTAATTGTTCCAGCGAGACAAGCTTGCTAATCATTACACCTGGAGAAGTCCTTTTTATTCAAAGCGTTGCTTAGATGTGGCTAAAGGCCGAATGTACGGGGCACCCAGTGAGGATCGAACTCACTAGTCAATCGTAATTGTTCCAGCGAGACAAGCTTGCTAATCATTACACCTGGAGAAGTCCTTTTTTATTCAAAGCGTTGCTTAGATGTGGCTAAAGGCCGAATGTACAGGGGCACCCAGTGAGGATCGAACTCACTAGTCAATCGTAATTGTTCCAGCGAGACAAGCTTGCTAATCATTACACCTGG